GTAATATTACAATGGTATTTTTTGTTTTAAGTTCTATGTCAGTATAATAATTATGTTTTATCAAACTCCTATTATTTTGAACAAATAAATGAATAACAACGAAACGACAATTGACGGTATTACATAATAAATTATTTTGTCAGTGATAAACTATCAATAATATTTGGCGTATTATTTGAATATTTGAACTTTTCATAAAGTTTTATTGTTTTTTGGGAAAAAAATTCTCCTCATTTATAATCTTGATGATATTATGACAGTTAAAAAGAAACACTGACAATATTGAAGCAAGTAATAACCACTTTTTGTTTTTGAAATTAAATGTATTTTCATCAGTTATGATGATGATTTTGTGTTTGAAAATGTTACTTATTTACTTACTTATTTACACACGTTACTCCTCATGGAGGAGCATAGGTCATCCAACAGCATTCTCGATTCAATTCTGTCCTGGACAATCCTTTCCAGTTGTTTCTAGTTCATATTCATCCATTTAATATATTCTTCAAATTCCCAACGCAGTGTGCTCATTGGTCTTCCGGTTTTCTATTCCCCTTCGAGATTTCAAGATAGCTCTTGCCTCATGATGCAGTTTGTTGATTTCCGAAGTGTATGTCCCATTCATTTCCAGAGTCTTATCTAAACGTCTAGAAACTAAACAAACTAATATGTTTATAGTTTAACCTTAATATACAATACCATAAATTTATGATAAAACTACTTTATTTCAGTAAATAGTAATAATGACAAAGTTTGTGCTATTTTTCCAAACGTATACTCTACTTTAATCAATTTGGTATGATTATTATTTTGCATCAGTAAATATTAAACAACTCCGCCTGTAGCTCTTCTACAGTTACTAACGACCTCGAGTCCAGCTAAGGAAGGAGGGTTGAGGATGGGGTCAGAAAAGCCATCCCTTAGAAAACAACCTTGCTAAAAACGCTAACCGGAATAAACAAATTAAACCATTGACTCTGCTCTCCAAGTTGAAGGATATTCATTCAGAAGAATTATGACGCCTCATAGTGAAAGCCAAGATTCTTCGGAAGTCACCATTCCGATGCCCCTTCAAACAACCAAAGCAACAATTAATATAGATACATGGAATGGACGGAAGACGTGGGAGACCGGTAGGACCAGTTAAATAGTTACGGAAATGAAGAGATACAACTTGACAGTGATCGCAACAAACGAAACCAATTGGACACACGCTGAACAGAGAAGGATAGATTTAGGAGAGATGTTACTGTACTCTGGTCACGAATAAGAAAATGCTCCACACACTCAGGGAGTTGCTCTGATGCTGTCCAAAGAAGCATGAAAAGCACTTATAGGACGGGAATCTCATGGATTCAGGATCACCAAAGCACCATTCAAAACAAAGAAGGAGGGAATCATGATGAATTTTACCCGGTGTTATGCACCCACCAATGATAGTAATGACGACGATAAAAACCAGTTTCATGAGAGGCCGAAATCGATTATAGAGAAGTGTCCAGGACAAAACCTGACTACAATGATAGGAAATCTAAACGCCAAAGTAGTTTTATCATAAATTTGTGGTATTGTATATTAAGGTTAAACTATAAACATATTAGTTTGTTTAGTTTCTAGACGTTTAGATAAGACTCTGGAAATGAATGGGACATACACTTCGGAAATCAACAAACTGCATCATGAGGCAAGAGCTATCTTGAAATCTCGAAGGGGAATAGAAAACCGGAAGACCAATGAGCACACTGCGTTGGGAATTTGAAGAATATATTAAATGGATGAATATGAACTAGAAACAACTGGAAAGGATTGTCCAGGACAGAATTGAATCGAGAATGCTGTTTGATGACCTAACCTAATAATTAGTAGCGTAGTATGAATTGATTTGTTACCATGTAAAATTAATTACTTAGAATAATATCATCGATAAGTAATGTTAATGAAGGTTTCTCATCATGTTCTATAGATTAGTATAATAAATTTGAGTTTTTTTATTGGCTCAATGTTTAATCCTTTATTACAATACTCATAACGTACTGAATATTTATTTTTGTTTATTTTTTCACTTGAGTTCAGATAGAAATTATTATTTTTTCTCTTCAAAAATTAGTTTTTAAGTAATATATTTTTTTAAGTTAAAAATGTTCTAAAATGATATTTTGACAATATTTAATACTGGTAGAATGAAGTTATAGATTTGAACGAGGTAATTATTCACTGATAATTTGGTTAGTCTAATCTCCTACATTTTATTTTCAGCATGATTTATGTTGATGTTTATTTAGTTTTTGCATAAAACCGATGTATGTAGTAACTCTAATGAATTACAAGATTTGGAAATTAATCCCAGATCAAACTCAGCTTAGGAATAAATATGCACAGGAGACATTTGTTTAAAGTTTAAGTAACTTAGAATTGATGGGAAGAAATAAATGGTGTAAATAATGTCAAATCTGCATATTAAAGTGTAATTGTCGTGTTATATTACGCGCAAATCACTATGTAATATTTTATAAGGAATGAGTAACTTTGATGGGAAACAATTTTAAAAAAAACTGATAATCAAACAACTAAGCCAGTAAAAATAGACTGTAATACAATATTTCTTAAGTGTAAAGCCCGAATATTGATAAGTCTTCTAATTGAACGCTAGATTCGGCTCCTAAACTCTTCTAGTAACCCCCAGGCTGAATTTACACAGCAACTTGAACGCGAGAGAAAAGGCTCGAAATATGAAGGAAACGCCTTGTGCTAAGGTCCAATTTATGTACAGAAAATCCAGGGTATTTATAGTATTGTAGATGGCCTTGGGCTTCTGGAAATTTCTGGGAGGCTACTAAACATAGTAGCAGTATGGGTAATCACCCAATCAGAAACACGACATGTGACTTGTCACTTTCTAAATGTGTTCTGGCAAAACTCCTATTGGATGCTAACCCACTTTTGTCTTTTTTCGAAGAATTTTCTGCATCTGCCCAACAATATGAAGTTATTAAAAGATTTTCCATCCGTAGATGTTTCTCGACTAATCTAAAAAGCTGTAGATAAAATGAAGATTTGAGGATGGCTAGGATTTCCTTAGACAGCTATATGATTCTTGTATGGTACTTCTCAGCAGCGTGGGATCATAAATGCGCACACAGTTGTTCAGATAAGGTTTATATTCAAATTTTACAGAATCTTGAACATAAAGATTTGCTGATGACTTTTTGTAACAAAAGTATTGGTATAATTACTATATACATATTTATTGTTTCGACAACTATTTCACGCTTATGTTTAAGTTTTTTATGTAAGTGGTTTGCAGGAAAGTAAGCCATCCTCAATAGTTCTCATCGTAGTTAGGAACTTATAAGGCCAGATGTTTCAGTTAGCACATACCTAACCAACAGATACCGATTTATATAACTCTTAATGACATCTTAGAATTAAATTCCAACTCTATCCTGCATGGTCAGCAAGTTTGAATTACTTCTATCAAGAAACGTATGTTGGTCGAATTTGAACGATATTAGAAGGACCAGCTGAGTGAGAAATTCGAGCATACATTAAAATTATAAATAGAAAAAAAACAAATTTCCATCGTACAGTGGCAAGACTATAATTTATGGACGAATCAGTTAGTTATAAGATAACAGGTCTCAGATTTTGGCGCGAAATTCACTTGTAGTGACTCACATTTATCACGAGAACACGACTAGTTTAATAAAAACAATTATTATTATAACCAACTGTACCAGTGCTTGTTTTAATGTGCTTTTGGCTGACTGTGCTAATGACAGCTATTTTGTGCTTCCATTCTTATGCTTACACTTTTGATTGTGACTTCGCGCGAATTCGGTTACGTTCTGTAACCAAGCTTGTATCCTGGCACGATCTCGGTATCCTTTCGATGCCACGAGATCGCCAGCAAATATAACTCGACTTGGTCCATTAACTGCCTTCTGATATTTGGCTTCTCTGAGATTTTATGGGTTTCTTTGGTTACGTCCAACCTTCGCCTTCTGATTTATTTGGCACGTGTTTCTTGGTAGCGGTGTTCATAGTTAATCTCAACTCGACGCCACGCTACACACTCATCCATTTAGCTAAATAGAGTTTTGGCTTTATAGCTGATGTCAGTTCGTGATGAAAACCTTACATTTAATTCCTAACCTTAATCATCAACCGTAAATCATAATTCTAATTCCTCACACAGGTTTACAACCCTATTATTGTAGTCTCAGTCCTTTTTCAAGAAGCTTAGTATTAGATTTATATTTAATTTTAGTAGTTCCTTCAGTTACTAAAACAATAATATGTAGTAGTACAATAAACATAAAGAGTTAATACAGTTTATAGCCGAATAAATTTTTGCTTAATCTACTCGGTAGATTAAACAGACTGCACTGGATTAAAAAAATTTGGTGAGCAAGATTTATTGACATTTATCTCAATATGAAAGCAGCATCGCTTTAAACATACTCAAGGCTCTAGAAAATTCCCATTGATTATTACAGGATCGGTTTTATTGATCAATTTTTGAGCTAGTCTCCAATTATGCCATGTCCCATAATTATTGGCTACAATGCCAAATAATTCTTTGAAATATTCGTGTCGAGGTCGATTACTTTTGACCTTAATCATGGGACCAAAATTGGGTGAGATTTTGTTAGATAGACTTTAAGGGGGATGAAATAGGGAGAAGAGAGGTAGAAAAGTCAGACTGGATTATTTTGAGCTCTAATAATATTGAGTGAGGTCACAGAGGCCCAATGAGAGTGAGCGATAAAATGCCTGTCTGTCGAACAATTTTCGATCATGTCTATTTACTACATACTGTTCGACTTAAATTTATGTGACCGATTGATTTGGGCCACTGGTTTTTAAGACACACAAAGTGAGATGTCATCAGACCAGATATTTGCCCACGTCATCATTGACTGATAGATTGTCTATCCCACTATTTTCATAAATCAAGAGGCCCGATGAAAAAAAATATTTCGATCGAACCTATAAGTTTTCGTGTATCTTTTGTTCATTACGTGGGTAATGATTCTTAAATGTTAGACCAGCTTAGTTGCATTTGGCATTAAAATCTAGCAAATCAAACGCAAATACATTAACTGTCCGCGGATTTATTTCGTTAAAAAATTACATCATACTTTTATTTAATTCGAGCATACATTTGGAACATAAATTATGCCACAATGTTGCTTTGCTGGTTGCCATAACCGTACTGATGATGGACGAGGCCTAAGTTTCTTCAGGTTTCCTCGTAGAGATGCTGCTCGAACAGCATCTTGGATAAAGGCTTGTGGTCGAAAGGAATTTGTTCCATCCCAACACTCACGTGTTTGTTCGCAACATTTCAAATACGATGATTTTGAACGGGATATTCGTTCGGAACTTATGGTAATCGGCCATAAAAGACTGCGTCTAAAAGAAACAGCTGTACCATGTCCTTCTGTTATCTTACAAAACGATACTAAACAAGTGGAATCAAGCAAATTGGTATATAATTCGAAAAGAAAATCCACGATCAACAGTCATATAGAATATGAAGCAACACAAGATAATTCAGGTCCATTGTTCTGTAAGTCTTTATTTACTAGCTCAACTTTGTAAATTATTGTTCCAATTATACTTCATTGCTGTATCATTATGAATCCCTTATTGAGTTTAGGTAAACTTATGTAGTATAGTACTAGTGTCCACTCAACTTCTAAATAAAATGTTCTATGATTACCGGCTGGATAGGTCCTTGATATAAGTATTGGTGATATGTATTGATTAATTAGAAAAAGATACTTTTCTGTGGTTCTTATGTACGTTTATTACCAAGAACTAATGGTTACTTTTTAATTAAACTTATTTCTAAATGTCTCTACTCGTTGAAAGGGAAGCGACTGGTTGGACTTCTGCAGTAATAAAGAAAATGGAATTATAGTTTTTAGCACATGGTTAAGTTAGTCGTATTAGTAACACTTCATTTGTTTGATTATCTTTCGTATCTGGTGAAATTGTGTCCCAGTAATTCTGTCTCCAACATACTAAGGGTTGACGAGCCTTTAGTGTTTGGTTTAAAGATAATGTTGTTATTTTAGCTTTGTCTTAATTCTTCATTTTAGTCTTGAAGGTTGACTCAAGAAAATTGAGGCTATTCTGAATAAGTGAGAAAAACTGATGAGAGTGATACGTAGAAATAAAAACGTCGAAGTGACGAGTTGCATTTCATGAAATCCTGATTACAGTTAATGGCCATCTTCCAAGATTAATTTGTAAACTTAATTTTATCCACAGTTCACCATAAAAATGTTTTTATTTCATAAGTCTAGTAAAGTAACTAATATCGAGATAACCTTGTTGTGGGGTTTAAAAATTCTGGATTTGACTTCCAGTGAATAGTCAAAGGTGGAAAACTTTGAGAAATTTCAGCAATATTTTACTAGCCATTTTCCACTAGACTGATATCGACTTATGAGAAAAAACTATGTTCCTATTTACATGGTCGTTTGAGGCTTTTATTTCAGAATGCAGTTATCAATTTCGGTTGTAATACTCGGGGACAAAATTAAATTCCCCTCGTCTTAGTTCATTCTAGTAAGTTTAGTGGAATTTATCAAAGTAGTTGAATGTTCCTACTTATTATTTTTATGTTTTTCCTTGTATTAGCTTTCTAGGGGCGATCATTTTTAAACGTTCATATTTTATTTCTAGCCTTCGGCAGATTCCAATTTTTAGTTTCTTCTCCATAGTACTAAAATGCAAAAAAAATCTGTCCATCTATTAAAGTAGTTGAAAAGTATACTGTTATGCAGTTCGATAGGTTTTTCCTTCTGCAATCAAATTTTTCTCTATGTATTTCATAAGAAAATTACAGTGTTGCTCACTAGAAATTTTATTATATTTCCTAGGTTTGACGGCTTAATTTTATGGTAACACTCGAAAGTGTTTATATTTTAATAGGACTTCGAGTTTTTACAAATTAACTCAAAAATAGAAGTTAAGGAGACATCTTGAGCATTGTATAAATATGTGGTGAATAACTACTTACCAGAAAATAACTCCAAATTAGAACCCGATACTCAATATTCGTAATTTACCCATTGCTATGAATATTTCTACGGTCGACTTACGTTAACTTTGAGAATATATAGAAATATGATGCTAAGCGGTAAACTGGTTAAAATAGTATTGCTTATGGTTAAGGTAATGCGAGTTAAAATAGATTATTGGATAACTCAAATACCCAGGGAAGTGGATATTGCAGTAATGTTAGAAGACCTGTTATTATACCAGAATTTATATTCAGCCAGTTCTTTTAAACTTGTCTATTTAGAGACTTATAATACTAAATAAATCCCCAAAATAAATATATTTGGAGTCTTCGACATATTAGTCCTACAGGACGTACCACTTACTTGAAGGCACTCAGTCAAACATCCACACCAAATTACGTTTCAACACGTCTCATAACATCCTTCGATCACTTGCTAGCTTAGATTTTATACGCTCTTGTACATCTGCCTACAATTCAGATTTATTTTCCCACTTAATCACCCCCGACTAAGGATCTTATTGGATTTAGGATAATCTTGTTACATTATTGTCGAATTCTGCACATTCGAAGCCGTTTCAAACTGATGACGTTGCTTTACATTCACTTCTGTCTATATCGCCACTTATTTTTGTCATTCTCTTAGTGGTAGTACTTCACTCTAATTCTCTGCAAACTAATGGGTTTGGAGTATACATACGATATATTATGGTAGGTAAAGGCAATAAAAAAAATAAGACTTCGATCCCTTTCTTACTCTCCACATATAAACGGCGAATCGTTATTGGTTTAGACATGCTTATTCTGATAGTACAAAATGAAAGACAAACGTGTCAGCCATATCACTTATCCTAGGGGGTCTTGCTTCTCGAATTTTCAGTGAGTATGCAAAGGGTTAGTAAGGCATTAAACAACTTATTCCTTAGTGATCCTCGGGGAGGGCTTCCAGATATTTTGAATTGAAATCCATCTCAGTGTCGATATTGCACTTATCGCCTACCTTAAGTATTGAGCAGTATAATATTTCGTACTTTGCACTTCCTACATTGCTTTTTCCCAGTTGACGTTATTTTTGATTCGTTGCTTTAACCCTGTCTCCTGAAGCTAATTCCAGTAACTTTTGCCAACTCACATTGTCCAGGTCCTACGCTATTTAGATTTGTCTCTAGTAAAGATTAGTGAGGTCGTTTAACTTTCAAAGCTGGACTGGATGAGTGGACTTTGAAACCAAGGTTTGGAGTGGTCAACTTTATGTCTAGGTATTGATATGCATGGTAACCTGTACTATATTCTAGCTCTGCATTTACTTTGCTAAAGTTGGAACAAATTATTATTGTTTGAATCATCGGTTAGATGCAATGCATAACGTCAAATTATCTCAGTCATCTTTGTCTTATCGTAAGTAACTAAAGATGTGAAATAAGATGTGACCATTCTTTCTGATGAATTCAGTTTTCAGTTCTTGTTGTGCATACAGAACTTTTTTCTGGAATTCTCACTAAATGATGTGGCGTCAAGCACGTTGTAATTCTGCAAGTGGTACTCACAGACTAACTTCGTCTGGGGCACCAATGAAAACCAGGACTGACTAAAATGATGTCTCGTGCTCGTGTAAGATTCGCTAGAAGTATGCAAGCGAGTACTTATAACGGGTCAGACTCAGGGTCTTCGAGCCGCTGATTTGACTTTCAGTGATACGTATCTGTAACCTCGGTTTGTACCTGATATGGTGGAACAACCATCTAGTGACATCGATGACACAGACGGCACATCTGAATTTTACTAGTAACCCGGTGGTCGGCGTTTTATTGAAGGGGATCTTTGAGGGTTAGTTCAATTTCTAGGTATTGTTTGTCAACACTGAAGAGTTCTGGACAAAACAGCTGCCTAATGGCCTGGTTTTTCTTGCCACTTTAAGTGGATAAATGCTTGACAAATACCCCCTACAAATTAGATTTTTTCTCACTGAACTTCATCAATACTGTATCTTGATGCCCTTAGCTTTTCACTTCCGTCTTTCTACTGTCTTATATCATGCAACTGGATCCCTACACAAATACTGGCGGAATAAAACGGATTCGTTTCATGACCTGTTGAATGAAAACACACACTTACAAACAACAGTACCACTAAGTAGGGGGTTCGACATATCTGATGAGGCTGAAGCGTTTGTTAAAAAATGAGAGGGGTCTGTTCGTTGCTGTTTGTGTCTTGAAGATTCGTTTTATTTATTATATGAAAGCTTCAGAGCGCTGATTCTCAAAAACGTTAAGGACAAAATTGGTTGTGACTGTTTTTGGATTTATACGTCTGCACACATAGTAGGATTATTTAGAGGTTTACCATATAAATACCATAGTGGTTAAAGGATTTATTGCTGCATCACACCACCTAAGTCGAGGACAGTTTTTAAACTTCATTGTTAAATGCATCAATAAACTCACGGGGGTCACCCTGTTGACCCTCTTCAATTGAGTGATATTGCAACCTCGTAATAACAAAATTCATAGGTCATTTAAGCATACCATTTTCTTCAGTCTTCAAGTGCTTTTAGAGTCAATAATCTTCAGCCGTCTTCAGACGACAGTTTATTTAGTGTGAAATATCCCTTGTAATATTTCGTTCATATCTCTAACTATTTAGTCTTCAGACCTCAAACATTTATGTGGAATTATTAATGAATACTACGGTCATCAGCTTCAAAGGTTAATCTTTAAGTGTGCAGTTATTATATGGGACGAATGCTCTCACCAAGTTCTTTTAAATTCGTATTCCACGCAACAACTAGAATGTTCGTTCTGTATTGTCTAGTGCTTCACTGTGTTGAGACACTGGATATTGTTGTGATTCTTCTTGTAGATGATTTTTGTAAAACTATTCCTTTCCGTCATACAATTTTTCAAAACTGATGTGAAGCAGATGGTTAAATCCTCTTATTTAGTTACATTGGGAGCTTTTATTTCCATGACCTACACCAGTCACTCCCCCTTAGTAAATGTCGGTAGTAAACGCCTACCCAAGACTAATAGAAGGTTGCATTGTTTCCCAAGCGATCCCAAGAATTAGTCGTAAGGTTTTCCTGACTTGTAGACCACAAGGTGACACATGTCAGACTGGCCCCGGTTATCGTTGTGACTATCTTTAGTGAACACACGAGAAGTAATTTGTATCCTGCAACTTGTATTGCCTATTGAGTGATAGAGATGTTCGGTAGCCTAAAACTGTGTGGGCATGTTTCATAGGAAATGTTTTTGTATTCACAGAAACCAGGTTTATAAAGATAAAGAATGAATACATAATCTTTATTGTACACCAAAGATATCCTTGATTTGGTAGATATATAAACATAGTTTCTGATTTGAGGCGTAAACTTGTTGATAAAGGTGTAAACTCTCACTGTCTTAAGGACACTACAGATATTCAGGGTTTAATTAGGCTTTTGTCTGTCATACCTTTATAGTCGAAGGATACCAACCAAGTCAAATCAGAAGTCAAGGATGGATGGGTGCGAAGATATATGCGTTGAGGACCGTTTGATCTAAGCTGGTAAGTAGTCGCGAGGGATGTGTAGCACGGCGTATCCGCTCGTGGTCTGGCACGGTTACGTGACCGAATGCTTTCAACTATGATGTGTCTGGCAATGGAAATGAGGTCGGCGTCAATGTAGAAGACTCATAAGACTATTTATACACTCACGACCTGTCACGAGTATTCCAATTTCAGGGAGCCTCTCTAATATCTTGGAAGTAAGATGGTCAAAGATACGATACATCAAAACTATCCATTCCTCAAAACTATACTAATGTCTACAATTTGTTGCTCCTTGGTAAGTTTCAATCCTTCGCCTTCTGAAATTATAGCTAGTAGGTCTGCACTCCTGAGAGGCTAATGTCAACTGCAAAGCAATCCACATCAACCCATGAGAAAATGAGGCGTTCAGGCAACGGGTAAGAACTGTACGGAACATATAAATCCGGCTTGATGCATCTTGAAAGCCAGAGCTTGGTGACTGAAGACCTCGGATCCGGTTAAGAAAAGCATTCCAAACAGTTACAATCTGGATTTCCCAATGGCTTTTGGGAGTTGTTCAGTGACGTGAATAAATAATTACTTAAGTTGCCCACTGAATGACGGTTAAGAAGATCGGTAGGAAGTAGTCGTTATTCTGTTAGTAGGAGGGGTAGAGTTTTCTCTGCGACTAATAGTCACTGTAATCTTTCGTTCAGTCATTGTTAAATGACCCAAATATCGGTGGTGAGGCAAATGATGTTTCATACTCCCTAAAGTTCTTATTTTAAGAACCTGCAATTTGGTCGGATAATTGCCACCCCCTGGGCTAAAGTTTTAACTTGCTCCTGGCCAAGTCAGGCGTTTCCCAAAGTTCAGCTCTGAAAAACAATACTGTATTCTCCACGGATGATTTTCACGACAAGATAGGACAAGGATACTAGTCGTCATGTTGTTTAAGTGTTGTTGCCTACTGAATGGCTCGTCATTCGACTTACGTGATCTAATTCTGGGTTCGTCTTGTCATTGTACTGATAAGATGTGTTACTGTTCACTTTGACCATTTCAGCCGCATTGGAAAAGGCATTGTCGAACGAACCTTTGGGCGAGATGGAGCCCCCAACCAAGAGGTATGCCATACGTTCATATGATGACTGTTCCAGGCAATGTTTTGATGATGTATTAGATTTAAGTCGAAAGTCTAACCATGTTACTAATGGCAGTGAAAAACTTTCTAGCAGGGTAAGTTATTATTTTGCACTCACTTCTGCAGAATGATGATGATGTTATTATGCTGAGTGAGGATGAGGATGATCGTCTACTTGGGTCTCTCTGTGATGAAATGGAAAAAGAAAACGCTCCCAAGCAATCACTTCTATCCAAGTCGCGTGCATTTCTTTTAAAACTGGAAAATGAACTTAGAAATGAAGAAAGTGCATTGGTTTTGCTTCAGCAGTTACGAGCCAATCAGCGTTCGCATGCATTACAGCCGAAAAGTACAAAAGTCTCATCAAGTGTAACAAATACAGTTCGTAATACACAATCACCTGTTAACCAAGGTACGTGCTTATTATTTATTCATTTCACTTAGTTCGGCCAGCTGTCGGCCAAGCTGTGATTAGAAATGTACCGTCAACAACTGGTGGTCGTGCAACACTATGTAAGTTTCTCAAGGCACTAAATATCTTCTCATTAGCTCCAGCCCAAAACACTACGGCGGTAAATCCAACAAACGCGACGGCAATAACGAAAGTAACTAAAGGAATGGCTATTCATGCTCTCGAACAACAATGTAGTGGTAAAAAAGCAATGCTTCGGAAGCAGTTAGAGAGAACGCTAGATAAAGTTGTTCTTCCAAAGCCTGCCATGGGAAATGGATTGTCTGTGGTGCCTTTTGTTCCTAGCACTTTGACAAATGAGTTTACTGCAATGATAGGCCTTGAAGAAATCGTAACCACCATACAAGTAGGTATTTTAACCTGTGGTCATAAAGTAGCTTTCTTCCTATTTGTTTTCAATAACTTTGTGCGTAACGGATGCGGACGAATAATTGAGTTCGCTATTTCCGGTAGCTCCTGAGGTTTTAATGTCAGGTTACCTCCCTTTTAAATACTTTCTGGCTTGCGGGCTATGCTAAATCTTATGAACGCAATGTTAGCTTTGTTGCAATCAAGTCTAATGACGATAAATATACCTCTTTTATTTGGGTGGTTAAGGACGGGTAGTTTTTTCTTCTAAAAACTTTCGTGAGTTGAGCTTGTCTGATATTACTCAGTCCAAAACATGAAGTTCTACGTTGTTACTGACTGACTGACTGAAACATGAGGCGTCTAACACAGTTCCATGTATTTAACAATGACCCGACATGTTGCTGAGTAACACAAATTTATTTGTCCCTATTCGGCCTTCATGTTTTGCTTTGAAGATTATTATACCAACCGAGGAACGGGGAGTACGTTTCAAACATGGAACCTTATTAAGTCGGTTGTTTTAACCACCATCATCCCAAATCAGGACTTTGAAGCTGCTGCAGAAAAGTTAATAGTCGGACTTAAAAGCCGTTAAGCACGCGGATGAAGGGCGAAAAGAGAGGAATCAAATATCCTTAGAGAAGTACAGACAGTTGGCACTTGCAGGTCACTTAGAATTGTGAAGTCTCATATTTTAGGAATCTTGAGAAATGTAATGGATACGTGGTGATGATGCTCTCGAACTAAGTATATGGTCTCAGAAACCGGTGTATATCTGTCTGTATTTTCCAACACAAAGTATTATTACGAGCATTTGTCTATAGATTTGTGATGCTAGTATTTTCAAAACCTCATCACTAATATCAGGAATTCGCGAAGCAAGCCAAATTTTTAATTTTTGATAAGCATCTTTCCTAACTCATAAGGAAAGACAGATTGAAACTAATGTATTTTTATGGAATCAAGTAACCGTAAGAAGCGAACTCAAACCAATCCCTATTGATTTTCTGGGCTGTTTTGTTTATATACCAGGAATTTATTATTTCTTTACTCGAAGAGTTATAACTCATTGTTTATCTCATAAATTGTTTACCTTAGTTCTTAAGTTGAGAATTGTTGGCAGTAAGGTACATAAATCATTACTTTTTGTCCCCCTACCAGTGTCCTGGGTCAATGTAAACCTCACTGGCTCTGAGGAGTATCGTGCTTACACTATTCTATCCCCATCAATAATGTACTTTTTTTCCTTTCAAAAGGAGGTACATAAGCTAATATCCTTAAGGGATGAGTTTTACCACCAGTTAACAGTTCTTCAGGTACCACCGAGGGTGGGGATAATCCACTCTCCCTCTCGAAATGCTCTCACATGACGACGCGTATACAGCCACTGACAGGTAACTCCCATTCACTGACTTCTCGCGAAGGGGGTGTTGTTTACAAAATTGAGAGGACGGAAAGCGAATGTCCGACGTTTTAACCGGGTTGGTAGACATGGAGAGTTGGAAAACCCGGATTCAAAACCAGTGGTGCACATGGGCTCCAGTATCTTGAAGGAACAAATGGCGTGTGAACCTATTGTTGGATATCGGCTACGACGGGACTGCATCTCCTTACGATGCTCCACTGCCCTATGGATTAGACCTTCAGGTCCAAAGCTCCGGGTGTGGCCCCCTAAGGAAATCACCTGCTTTGGTTTGGCACCCGGGCAGTATCACGGCCCTCGCACAAATCAAATGAGATGTGTGTGGCGCATATATATTTGGTGCCTCTTTATACCAATATTTATGTGTTCAAATAATAATAATTTTCTACAGAAAGTACGTTCGACATAAATTGTAGCACTAACTGGAGACTTGAATGCTCAGGTCGGGCACCTAGGCACAGAAGAGTCATTTAGGTGGCTGATGAGCACCTGCTGGTCCCAGGTCAGATAACGGTGACCGGCTACTGCAACTGTGCGCAGACCACAACCTGTTTCTGGTTAGCACTAACTACCGGCGCAGTCGTCGCCGACGTGCCACCTAGTGTCCTCCCTCTGCATCTCAAGTCTGAACTCAGATTGATCACATCTCGATCAGCTGCCGCTGGCGTGGTTGTGTACAAGACTGCCCTTCCTTTTACAGTACTTGTCTGGACTCTGATCATGCCCTTGTCTGCACTAATCTTACCTTTTCAGCGGCCAACAAATTCATCGTCCTAAACCGATCGATGCCAGTAAATTGGTTCCAGCTCCTGTTGCAACTAAATATCAAACCGAGCTAAGTTCAAGGATGGCTACCATCCCATCGAAAAGTATAGATGGGCATTGGTTGCAATTGCATGACGCCATGAAAATAGCGAGTAAAGTCACTTGCCCCTTCGCGAAACGTCCCGCTTATAAGCACTGGATTTATCCGGGCTCTTTACAAGTCATTGAATCCCGTTAGTCTACTCCAGGTTACCGTAAGTTTGATCACAAACGACAGCTGTTACGTAATGAAGTTGGGCAAAGCTTGTGTAAGAACCGAGAAGCCTAGTGGTTGGAGTGTGTTAATGAGTTGGAAGCAGCAGTTGCACCTGGTAACTTCCGGAAGCTCTTCCAACTCATCCGAGTCACTGGCAGCAAGAAGCCTGGTGTGAACGAAACAATCTGTAAAGATGGGGGATGCCAATCACCAACATTTGTCGATGTCTTGGATGATGGGCAGAGTTTTTCGAAGAGCGGTTCAACTGGTCTGCTACCTCAGCAACATCGATCACACTGTTCTACTCTCTGTGGCCTGTGACGACTGATTCACCTAACGGGGTGGAAGTCCGCAAGGAACTCCAACTTTTGAGGCGCTACAAATCACCAGTCCAGATGACTTACCTCCGGCCTTTTTTAAAGATGGTTGTGACTTTCTGGTTAAGGAACTGACTGAGATTTTTTTTAAAAAGGTTTGGCAGTTAGAGAGTGTTCCAACATCATGTAGTGAGTCGACAGTTGTCCCTATCTTTAAAATGGGTTCACGTGGTTTCTGTAACAACTATTGCGAGATAAGTCTACTTCCGATTGCGTCTAGACTATTTGCTTCCGTCATACTTTGTAGATTGTTCAAAACCTGAGGAAGATTGACTTGCGAGGAGCAGGCTGATTTTCGATCTGCTCGAGGATGTATTGACTATATCTTCACCCTCCGCCAAATGTTAGAACACCATCATACTTATTACAGGACAACAGTCGTAGTGTTTCTTGATATCAGGGCTGCCTTCGATTCGTTGGACGGGCTGCTCTCTTGAATTGTCTATTGGGGAGCGTCACTTTATTGTAACTGTGAGTATAATAAAGTAACGTTTCAATAATTATTAATCCCAAACTTTCTAATTGGGTATTTGTGGCTGAGAAAAGTGTTGATCTGATTTTCCTCTGTGGATCTTTCAGATAGTTGACCTGTAAAAATCTTGTTCTAGTAATCTAACTACCATCGCTCAACATTCGTAATTTATGTGTCTTCTCAACTAGATCACTTGATGTTTCTTAAATGTTCATTTTTTAACTTGGGAAGTTTATCCTCTTATTCAAAGTTTCTTGTTGTGCATTAAAAACCAATTTCCCCAGTGAATAATGTTCAACTGTCCACTTTTTTGACGAATGAAGTTTACCTGAAATGCTATTTAAATAACTCAAATTATTTGTACATTATAGGACTTCGACCCATTGAGCACCGATAAGAGTTCTGAACAATCTCGCTTTGTTAACCCATTCTCATGTTCACGTTGTGGTACGGACTTCACACCTGTTTGGAAACGCAAACGCCCAGGCTCATCTGAAGTTGTTTGTGAAGCCTGTATAGTTGACAGTCAGCGTTCAGTCATTCATAAAGCATACAGTAGTGTTATTTCAGCTGCACTTAAACAGCACGCTGCTTCAGAACGTGAAATCGAGCATGAATATCAAGACGTAGTCAATTCACCAGCTAAGTTGGAAGCTTTTATTAAAGAACATGAACGTAAGCTTCTGGTTACTCAACAAGCTCAAGTAGCCCAACAACAGCAGCAACAAATGCAGCAAGTTGCTTCAGCTACTGGCTTACATAATCAAAGGTACCAACAACAACAGCAAGGGTTCCAGTCTCAGGTAAATTTTCATTAAAGTATTTAAATTTTAAGTTTTATTGATAACAGTTATGCCCTAGAGTATTAAAGCTAAGAGCTAACATAATATCTTTGGAGTTTGCGTTGAAACTTCAGTTTTAATAAAAACTGCTTATTATACTGCAACGACTAAAAGATTAAATTTTCTGACGTTTCGTGACTTAGTGCAAGCCACTTCAGAAAATAAATTAACAGTCAAAGTAAACTAACTGAAGTTCGTTTGGTAAAAAGGAACAAAACAAAGATATTTACTACATTCAATTAAAAGCATATCTGATCAAGTCAGCGTTATGTTATTACGGTGAAGGTGGTACATGTATATTTGTGTGTGTGATAATGATGTGAGATATGATAGCTTGGATAAATAGTCTATTTTGGATTGATGGTGAAACCTTTCAGTTTAAAAAAATGGGCTACTTTGTTTTGTTAGATCCGCGTTTCTATTCAGATATTTTAATAAACGTAAGATTAAAATTTGGAAATCGTAACTGTCAGGAAAATGATGGCTGTTTCCTACTTGCAAAAGATGCTTTGTCATTTCGGTAATGTTGTTCTGTAAGTTTAGAATAACTTCCCGAAGAGTGTAGTATTTGAATGGACAGCTGTTTCCAACAACTTCGCCAGCAGACTCTACAATCATAAATCAATGATTATTGCGCTACTTTACAAAGGCTAAATTAAAGCATGTCTGTGAATTCAGTAATGCTATATATTTGTAAACTACCGGAATCTAGTATTGTCAATGCAACTGACTGAAGTCCAGGATCTTGTATATCTACGTCTAAAGTGTCTGTGTTCTCTTAGGAGTTTGGGCGCTCCGATTTTTGGCAATAGAATAGTGAGTTTGAACTTGGTTCTATCTCAAACAGCTTGATGGAGCAGATATGACCTTTAGTTCTTATACAGTAATTGTTGTTTTTTAACGTTTACATGTCTCTGTGTTCTTGTACTAAATAGCACTAACTTTTAATTCTCATGATTAGTCATCTATGACTAAATTATTTAAAATTAATTGGAATATAGGTGAATAGTCATGTCTATGTTCAAGTGTCATGATAGATCAAATGTATTGAAGAGCAAGATACTACATGAGTATAATCTCAAAAGCATTTACGATGGAGTATGATACCTATCTCGTAATATTTTTAATTTTCTTCCCTCGGAAGAATCCTCATAGTTTCTTAGTACTTCCTATTCAAATTGTACTGATAGTGCTTACTGAATTAATTATTCTTTATTTATTTATTTGGACACATAGATATTGGTACAAGGAGGCACCAAATACATATGCGCCACACACATCTCATTTGATTTGTGCGAGGGCCGTGATACTGCCCGGGTGCCAAACCAAAGCAGGTGATTTCCTTAGGGGGCCACACCTGGAGCTTTGGACCTGAAGGTCTAATCCATAGGGCAGTGGAGCATCGTAAGGAGATGCAGTCCCGTCGTAGCCGATATCCAGCAATAGGTTCACACGCCATTTGTTCCTTCAAGATACTGGAGCCCATGTGCACCACTGGTTTTGAATCCGGGTTTTCCAACTCTCCATGTCTACCAACCCGGTTAAAACGTCGGACATTCGCTTTCCGTCCTCTCAATTTTGTAAACAACACCCCCTTCGCGAGAAGTCAGTGAATGGGAGTTACCTGTCAGTGGCTGTATACGCGTCGTCATGTGAGAGCATTTCGAGAGGGAGAGCGGACTCTCCCCATTTGGGGGTGAATTAATTCTTCAATCGCAAATTAAGCTATGCCAGTTGACTAACAGTTATTTTGAATTTTGAAAGCAATAAACTTAAGTCGTTGTGAAGGGAATTAGAACGTTTCAAATAAACAAGCTAATTTAAGTTAATAAAATTACTGGTTTACTGATCAAGTATAAGTTATGGTTTTAATAGAGAAAGTCCTAAGTGTTTATATGTTAAGTCACGTAACAAAGATGTTCTGTAATGAGTTTGCGTAATATACCATATTTTAAAAGTTTTGGGATAACGCAAACTTGTATTTTGTCATCTTATAAAGCTTAAGAAACTGCCTTCATAATATATCTTGATGTATTCCCATAAACTTAGAAGAGATTGATGAACCCTGTTATATAGTGCGACTATAACTATGAATACATTGATCTACTCAAAGAGTTTTAAATAGCTTATTAATCCAACTGCACTTAGTGGTTGGTCATGTTTTTATTTATCATTTGTACTCAAAAATAAACATTAAGAACGTTCTGGGAGATTTTTGTGATGCGTTTTTATTGATTGGAGTATCAAGTTCACTTAAGAAAAAATTAGATCGTCAGTTGTTATATCGATGTTGGCTGCGATTTTTTTCAGTCAGCCAGTCACAACGTAGAACTTAGCGCATACATTGACCGATTCACGATGTCAGATACGGTGGCAACGATAGAACCACGTTTTAGTTTGAGAGGTATTAGTATACAGAATATATCTGCATGAGACAGATGTTCAAGCAAGTAAATAATCAACACCTCTTCATTCTTATGTTGATTAAAATTTACGGTATTAAAAAACCCTACTCATGCTTAGTCTTTTTCATAAGACTCAGATCATCAATCACATAGTAGACATTTAAAATTATACATATAAGTGTACAAAGTTGTTACTCATGAGTACAGTAGCCAACAATTAGTTCAAAGCAGGATTAATGTACTTTGATCTAGTCAGTCAGATAGTATCTCCTCGACACAGTAAGTATCGCTCGTCTGCCAGATTATGTATAACTAGGATTTCGAATAAGTTATAACATGCAGTTTGGTTTTCAGGTTGGTTATACTTCATTCTGTCTTTGTAATAATTTTGTATTTTTACACAGAATGTATTTAATACTGCTAGTAGCTCAAGGCATGGACAAACAAATGTGGTCAACAGCGCTTCCTCATCTCAGTTAGGAATGCCAAATGTTTCGTCTCGTCGACAAACTACATCCAATAACGTTAGCGTCAGTTCTCCTGTTTCCTTACCTATTCAGCAGCAGGGACATGTAGCAGGAAATGTTGTTCAGCAGTTGGCATCTCGTTACCAACAACTTACAAAAGCGGCTGTTGCTGCAGTTGTTGGTGGTGGTCAAAGTCCGGTTAATCATTCTGTTGCTAATAACGCTGCCACTGCCAACTTGATGATGACTGCGGCCGCAAATCCTATGCTTGCAGCAGCGGCAGCAGTTTCGGCAACTAATCAGCAACAGCAATCGGTCGCCCAACAACAGTTAACTGCTGCAGCATTGGCACAACAAAGGCTAGCTGCAGTAGCAGCTCTAAACTTCCAGCATCAACAACCACACCACACACAACCTTCAACTGGAGCTGTAACACCTAATTCACCCATTGATCACTTAGCTCAGTTTACGCAGATGCAGACATTATTAATGAGCAGTCTCTTGGGAAATGCAGGTATATATTTCATCACTTATGTTTATTATCATAATCTGGATATTTTTATTTTAATCTCTGTCCTTAATGCAAATTGTCTTGTTTTTCGTGTGACTTGAGTAATTACGAACAACATTTCCAAACGACTTTTATTGCGGACTCTGTCTCAGCAACAATAAGTTAGCTACGTTTTTCTGTCTATCAATTGCTCTGATCTTACTTGTGAAACGTCTGTAGATTCGATTTATCTCATAAGTTCTATGGGGGTTTGAGCGTCCTTTCCAAAGTACAAATTTAACTTGGGTCTGATTGCAACTGTTCTTCATAGTATTGGGTGTAGTCTTTCTATCAAGAGATACTCTTCAATTTGTGGTCAAAGGACTCAAATTCCGCATGTTCGAACTCTGCTTTCGTTCGAAAAACCCGATAGGAACTTTGTTCTTTACACCAATAACTGACTACATAAACATTTACCTGTTCAACCATTCGACCTGGTCTCCCTGTACCCAGCTGCAGATTACGCTAAGATTGTCTTATATCAGACAACGGAATTCCAAGTATCTATGCTATCCATCCTTCAAAATCCACTTTTCAAGATTTAGTTGTGAATTCTCTAGGTTTCTATAATTGGCATACAATTGATCTTAACAACAGAAAATAAACTTCCTAACTACATTCAACTATACAGTAATTCATATCATAGTTGAGTGGATGAGACCGTTGTTGCTACCTTGACGTGGTGGTCGGGCTTGCCTATCGTGATGAAGCAGCCGAGCTATACTGGCTGGAACAACCGTTCCTCAAGGTCCTACCATGTCAGACAGGTCGGTTGAAGAGCGATAAGACTAAAAGCAACAAACTCAAGGTCCGAAGGCGAAGTCGTACTGCTGACTGTACAGAGGTGTGACAGCAGTAAGGTGTTTCCTTCAGACAACCAGCATGACAGCGATGCTGCCTTCCCACAAGGAGGGGTGGGGTTAGAAAAGGTCGACCCTAAAAATGCACACCTCGCCTTATCCCACGGATATCCGTCTCCGGCGGTAAGGTCTCAATAAGTACGGAGCTAACACAAAAATTACCCATAACAAGGTCGTGTGTGACCGACCTCAACCAGTTGTCCCTTGGGCACTGCGGTCACGCTCTCAGGTCACTAAGACCACCTTTAGTCCAATTTCCTTTTCAGGTACCTCCAGAACCACCCTTCCTCGGTGTGGGCAACCGGGAAGTGATAACCGCCCTCATACCTCTAACAGCACGCAAGACCACTGTATTCATAATCAACCTTCATCTTCAATTCCTATTATTCCTCCTACATCGACTTTCAACCCTAAACTTCCTCCTCAAGTGTCACCATAACCAACGATTCTAGTGCTCAAAACTCTGTCCCAGGTCTACTGAAACCTCGCTCCAAACTACACATCGGAGCTTTCAACGTACGCACTCTATGTCAAATCGGTCAGCAGGCTTCCTTGGCTAATACCCTAGAGTCTCTTTCCATTGATGTATGCTGTGTCTCCGAAACACGCATACAGGATTCCAGTGTGGTCATTCACTTGACCTCACCTTGGCAAAACGGAGAGCCAACGAGATACACCCTCCGTGTATCTGGTAACCCTATGGCCAGTTCTCGTGGACTGGCAGGTGCAGGCATAGCACTAAGCATGAGGGCGAAACAAGCACTGCTAGAGTGGATCCCCGTTAACAGTCGCCTATGTGCTGTTCGGCTAGACGGCTCCGTAAAAACTCAGAAGGATAGGGACACACGTCGTTGCCTTTTCGTCGTTTCTGCCTACGCTCCCACTGACTGCAGCTCAGATGATGTGAAAGATGAATTTTACAGAAAGCTGTCCGAACTTCTTCAGAAAGCTAAACGCTCAGACAGTACTCGTAGGGGGTGACTTTAATGCTCAGATAGGTAGCTTAAAGCAAACAGAAAGGCATTTAGGTGGATATTTTAGCATTCCGGCACAGCGAACAGATAATGGTGACCGTCTGCTGCAACTATGCTCAGACAATCGCTTATTTTTAGCAAACACAAATTTTAAGCATAAGGAGAGACATCGTCTAACGTGGCGATCCCCTACACCAAACCAACGATGGACTCAAATAGACCATATTGCCATCAGTCATCGTTGGAGAGGGTCGGTAGAAGATTGTCGCTCATTCTGGAGTACCTGCTTGGACTCCGACCATGCCCTAATACGGGCACGCATCTGCTTGCGCCTCACTGGACGCAAAAAAGCCACAGTAAAAAGACCCATTAGAACTGAATTGAGTAGCGAGAAAACCAAAAGTAGGTTCCAGGAACAACTGAGGTCACACTTAGGTAGTTGCGAAGACGAGGCTGACCCAGATGTTGCTTGGAAGGACATACAATCAGCTGTGGAAACATCAGTGACATCTATTAGTGACTTAAACCACAGAGTTGCAAGGAACCAGTGGATTTCTTCAAGGTCTGTCACACTGATGGATTCTCGCAAACTCGTCCCATCAGGTTCCGAACATGATGAAGAGCGAAAACAAATCAGATCTAGGTTAAGAAAAAGAGATGGAAAAGGCGGCGACTATAGGGAATACAAGACAGCTTTACAGACTAATAAAAGAAACTGGAATTAATAAGTCAAGTGTAAGTCAGACTATTTCGGAAAACGACGATACTCTCATCTGATCCCAGTCCAGACGTTTAGAACGATGGGCGGAACATTTCAGAGAACAGTTCAACTGGCCTTCAGCTACTCTACAACTACCCTCCATTCCCAGACAATGTGAATGGAACATTGAAGTAGGTCCCCCAACTCTTGCTGAAGTTCAAAAGGCTATAGTTAATCTGAAACGAGAAAGGGCAGCTGGTCCAAATGGACTGGCTCCAGAGGTCTTTAAGGATGGTGGCCCAATTTTAGCGATTATGTTGACTAATATTTTAGCTAAGATCTGGGAATTAGACTTTATCCCATCTGACTGGTCGCAATCACATATCGTCACAATATATAAGAGAGGGTTAAAATCATCCTGTGACGACCATAGAGGGATTAGTTTAACTAATATAGTATCTAAAATACTAGCCTCGATAATTATCAGACGCCTAACTAAGACTCGTGAAGTGCAAACACGAGAGAACCAAGCTGGCTTCAGACCTGGTCGAGATATCCGTTTATCAGAAAAACGACGAGTATACTGCGCGGCAGTTCGTTCTGTTTTACTTTACGGCAGCGTAACATGGCCCTTAAGAGTAGAAGACACTCGTAAGCTACTAGTATTTGACCACAGATGCCTTAGAAATATTTCTGGCGTCTGCTGGGATCACCGGGTAAGTAATAGTGAAGTTAGATGCAGGGTATTAGGGAATGATGGTAAATCAGTTGATGAGGTTGTGAATCTTCATCGACTGAGGTGGTTGGGCCACATGTTACGCACGCCCGAACACCGATTACCACGACGCGCAATGTTGACAGGTGTTGGGGATGGTTGGAAGAAAGTTAGGGGCGGCCAAACCAAAACGTGGCATCAGTGCCTGAAGTCACTAACCTCTAGTCTGAGCCATGTTGGTAGATGCAGACTACTTGGTTGGGGTCCGCGTGATTTTCGTAACCAATGGTTGGAGACTGTTGGCGACATGGCTCAGAATCGATCACAATGGCGTCGGTGTATAAACTGTTTGTCTTCCCTTAAACTAAGAGATTAAAACCACTTCATATCTTTCTTTCTACGAACTAATTCTTTCTTCCTATACTATATCCTTATTGCAACCTTTAACCTAACCACTCCTATGAATCCGGTGTCCATCTTGTTGTGTTAATGAGGTATGGCAACCTGGACCGATGCACATATGTGCCTGGTCCTACGTTGTAGCTGACTGACTGACTGACATGATGTTTGTTCATAGTCTCCGCCTGCACTGTCACTAAGTGCATTACTAGCAAAATGAACGAAAGAGTGAATAATGTTTTCTAAATTTCAGCTCAAACAGGCAAATAAAACTTTCTACTTCAACTGTCTCTTTTTCAACCATTTATTTTTAACGACTACTATAGAATTCTAAGTACTTTAAATATGCAAACAGAATTACATGTAACACTAATCTAATTACTGATAGATTTTGTTATTTCGGACTGTAGTTTTTGAAGATGCGTCATTGTTTTTGGTGTTAATTTGTGTCAAAGAATTCTAATACTTTGATAAGTGGCGATAAAAGCTGACTGATATTCATTTTTATCTTTTCAACAATAATTCAGCTGCTGCTACTGGGGCGCAAGCAACAGCTAATTCTAGACAACAACAACAGCAAATATTGCAGCATGCACTTTTACAGTACACCTACTTACTACAACAGCAACAAGCTGCTGCAGCTGCACAAGCTCAACAACAACAAAATCAGCAAGTTAATGCTGCCGCATTGCAACAGCTAATGAGCGGTGCTGCAGCTAATCCGGCAGCGTGTATGACCTTGTTACAAAATTTGTGGGCACTAAATGCTGCGTCAAACGGTGTTAAAAAGTAGTGTTTTGATATCGTAACTTTATTCCTAATTTAATGACTTCACTGTTTTGTGTGTCTATTTGCTATTGATATCTCTATATTTCTATTATTTGATTAGCTCATGTTTCAGTTTGCTGTGCCTTAGTGACTACAACGCGTACAGCGTACTTTGACATAAATCAATCGTTTATTCTAGGCTGTTGTTAAATTTTTTTACATCATCTACCGACTAGTTTACTACGTATACTCAAATTCTGGTTCTTTAAAACCACTTGTCATTTCCTTTTTCTACATTGTACATATCTTCATAAATTCGTCGTATTGTTTCAGTTTCATTTGCTTTATTACTGATATTTTTCTGATTTTTCGGTGAACATATCGTCTTGCAAATTGTCACTTACAGTTGTTTTCATCCTATCTGGTCATGGGTTTAGTTTACAACACTCCCTGGCTTATTTTTGGTTTTGAGCATTGTGAGGAAGTAATAGATAAGTTCGGTCTGCTTAACGGTGTAGGGTCTTTCCAACATGCCTGCAAACTTCAATGTTGGTGGTAATATAGTACTTCAGGTACATTTAAAGTCTTCTAGTTGTCTCTTCTACATTAGGTGGTGTTAAGGCAGAATGTTATTCAGAATTTTACGTTTTCATTGCTGTCAAATAGGTGAAAGGTTGTTGTTTGCTAATTTCCTCTATATCTGACTCCAATAAATGATATCCCGTTAACTGAGTATTTTAGGTAGGCTAAATCTCCTAGTAGAATTACAGATTTACTCGAGATTATTCAGAAGCCTGAACACCAGTTGTAGAGATATTTTTATTGTTAAAGATAAATAAAATCCACAAGCGTACAGCGAGCAAGCACACTGTGAAACCAAGAGTGTGTGTGTGTGTGTTAAAAATCCATATATATTTTTGAGTGTCAATCAAGTGTGGATGAATTATTGATTATGTGAATGTTACAACCAATAGGAGAATAGAATGAGGTTGATGTGCAGACACGCACTCAATCATACACACACAGAAATTAATATAGCGAATTAAGTGTCTGAATTACAGTGAGTAGACAAATAATACAATAGTTGAATGGGCTTAATACAGGTAGTGTGAAGATATGTGTGTCTTGTAATCTACGTCGAGGCACCTTAGCTTCTTAAATTACATGGCTGCTGGTTGCTCCACTCGTTTTTGCGCACAGTATCCTAACGTGAATGTGATACCACGTGTTTTTTCGGCGCTGGACTCGAACAGCATTTTGGAATTCGACTATGGTCAATTTAGGATGAGCTATTATAAATGTCAGAAACACGAAGTTCAGCTAAGCGATCTCTTCGATGATTTTATTATAATACTAAACAATTATATATATATATATTACAATAAAAATTTCAAATTATTAGTTTCAAGAAAACATGAACAAGGAATAAACATGATAGGTTATTGTTCCGGAAATATCTTTACCACTCAATAATCTTTTCATCACGTGATCTGAAATTCATAAACAATTTTAGGTCTCACCGTTGTGTCTGAATTTTTCAATAACCATTTTTTTCAGACCGTTAAGATTTACTAGTCAGTTTAAGTAACATTTTCAATACTGGTATCTTCGGTTTGTTCTTTGAACTCGATGCAGTTTGTAGTCGTATAGTCACTCATTATCTTTGTTTGATTTCTTGTTTGTTTGAAAATAAGCATTCCCAGTTTTCGTAAATTTGCTGACATCGCTACTTATGCCAATTACCTCGTTTTGGAAACCATTTTAAAATGAGTATGGAGTTACTGACTATGTGTTATGTATATCCTTGTTTTGCTTCCGTCAAGATAATTAAAAAAATAGTGCAATAGGTTGTAGATGTTAATTATATTCCTAGTACCAAACAATAAATCCACAAAAGCAGTCGACCGTAGCGTTTTGCTAACATTCAGATTGTGTGTGTGGTAGCTGGGTAGTGATGCTTTAGATTTGAGTAGATCTAGATGATGACTTACTAGGAGTTTACCTAATATGAACTCTGATCTCCCTGTCAAGCATGTCATCCGCTGAGGAAACTAGCAAAATATTGGTATTCTAAAAATTGTAACCGGACTGAGCGTTATTTTATTGCATTTCGGTTCTATTAATTTAGTTTTCCGCTTTTTCTGGTCATCATTTTCTCTTGTCCTGGATATTTTTCAGTCTATTTTATGATGAGTGGACCGTTCATATCAAAAGTGGCATGCAGTACGATGAGTACAAAGGATGTTTGCACGAATCTAAAGCCTGCTGCTTTTGGATGGTTTAGTAAAAATAGTTACGCGCGGTTGTGTCAGCAGTGCTGATCGGGTGCAGCTTGCTGTCCGAAGCTATTGCAATGGTGAATGCTGCTAAGAGGAGTATTAACAATCGTAATCGATAAGCATCAGACAGTACTCGCTCGGTCGATTTACAAATTGATGTGAAGTTACTTCAGATAAGCTCAGAATTGGTTGACCTATATGGGTCAAATGAGGAAAAACCGACTTCAAAGAGGTCTATCAGAAATAAAAGCTCAAGAAAAGAATTTTTCTGTTCCCCGTCCTCCAATTGTCAACAAGCAAGAAAACGCCTAAAAAACCTGGTCATAAGGCTAGGTCTGTTCCTAGCAGGAAAAACAAAAACCTAATCATGGACGATCATCCGAGATCTCACAGTGTGTGTGTGGCACGACTGTGGTTGCTACTACCACGAAAGTTGATGAGTGGGTACAGATCGGTAGTAGGAAACAACATAATTTTACTAAATGAAAATCAGTCTCCCGAAAAGTAGAGAAATCAAAAATTGGTCGTAACTACAGGTTAGTTATCTTTCATCGAGTCAAGTAGAGTGTCATCTCAGAACCTAGAACTCGTTTGGATCATGATGTTGAGTTGATAAAATCTACTAATTCGGCTAATGCCTCAGGTTATTTTTCGAGTCATCATGCTAAAGGTTTATGAAGTAGGTATCCAAATTAATCAATCCGGGCTGCTAAATGTACTATTTAAGTCTACCAACGAAAGGAACTTAATATTGCAAAATGGACATAAAGTGAAGGGATCAGGAGCTTTGTCCTCAAAGACTTGCCGCTTGTGGGAAGTATAGAAAGAATAGAAACCGAAAAAGAACGAGAACTTAAATGTTGGTGAAAAGAATCAAAAGATTCGGGTAGTGAGTCCTCGACAGAGAATGATGCTGATGCCACTCTGGATGCAGCACGAAGTCACTTAAATGGGCTTCGGATCTGTTTCACAGTTGCCCGTAGTTTGCTCAATAAGCGGTTAGAAGTTGGTGTGCCGATAGACTCTACCAAGCAGGATATAATTGCAGTCATAAAAACTTGACTGGCTAAGTGTATAGAGGGTAGAGAGCTTGATTTTAAAAGTCTAACAGTATGAATCGAGATAAGTAAAAGAGAAGTAGATCTGTTCGTCAGGAATACGGTCCCATTTGTCATTATTGATAAGACATCCTATGAGAATGGAACGTATGAGTTAGTTAGTTACCGCTTGGAATGCAGGGAGCAATAGCTTCTGGTTGTTATGGTCAGCCGCACTCCAAGCTATGAGGTGAATGAAGTCTTTCTAGACAGTTTCGATACTTGTTCAAAAAGTGGCAGATGTTTGACCCTACGAGACATCAATACACCTGCGGTCGACTGGGAAGATCTGAGGACTGATGCAGTTATCACATGCCGTAGTGCAACATGTGAATGAATCAACTGGGTGCATCACGGACTCCTAATAATCCCTACTAGATCTCACATTTACCCATTATGTGGATAACATCACAAACCTCTATTATATGCTGTGTATTTACAAACGAAGAATTCCTAATTGACAACCTCTCAATTCTGGCTCCCTTAGAAAAAAACGACCATGCCGTCATAGTTTTTAGTTTTATCAGCAAGACTGAGCTAAGACATCCCACCAACGACAGGCACTCAACTTTCAAACGGTTGGATGTGTCAGCTTTACAGGACAATCCACAACAGGTGGATTGGGAACTTCACACTCAACCTTATGTGGATGCTCACTGGAATTTATTGCTGCACACGATCTTATGTGCTACAAAACAGTCTTCCTCAAATGGCCCCCAAAATCTCCACTCAACCTACAGTCATCAAGAACCGCACTCTTCGTTTGCTGAGTCATAAAAGACACTGTAGGGCGGAATACAAACGACCTGATAAGAACGGCGTGTACAGGCAGTGCAAAAGTATGAGGAACATATTCACAAAGGCGATAAGAGAATACAGGCTTCAGTATCAGATATAGCATGTCGGTAAGTTTGTCTCTAATCCGAAAAGTTTATTCCGTTATGCAAACACTCTTCAACAGGCCAAAACTGGAGTTTCCCAACTGCTAGGTCCTAATGGCCCCAACGGTAACGACGGTGACGCTGCTAATCTTCTGGCTAAACGGCACTCTCGGACATTCCAACCGCCCTATATTGGCTATGCTGATGAAAGCTTCATCTGCAACTGCACAGGACTTTTCGAAGTGAACCTGAGCGTTAAATTGATGTACCGGAAACTGCAGCACCTAAGAAAAGACACTACTCATGATCCGGATTTGGTTCATTATGTTATACTGATTGAAGCAGATTCAATCATGGCAACACCGCTGAGCATGATGTTCTCACACTTACTAAGCCGAGGCACACTACCAAAAATTTGGAAGCTGGATCACATCACACCAATTTTCAAAGGAGGTCGACGCAGCGAACCTTCAAGCTACCGACTGGTGGCTCTTCTCTCTATACCTTCAAAAATGATGGAATCCCTGATATGAGACGGTATGCTCAAACGTCTTTTCACTCCAACAGCATGGTTTCAGGTAGGGTCGTTCTTGTATAGCCAACCTGCTGACTGCGGTGGACAGATGGATAACCATCCCTGGTCGCAAGGGGAAGCTTGACGTCTCTTACCTTGGCCATTTTAATTGCGCAGGGTACCTCATTTGCAAAAGACCCCGGCCACGAGAAGCGTGAAACCTGGTACATTTGTGGATCGATCCAAGCCACCACATAGCACCAGTATCGTGAGGTCAATTTAAAGTTAATGCCGAATTATTGGATTCGACATTATCATTGATAGTAGAAATGATTCATTTCGCATGAATGATAAGATTCTTGAAGACTTAATGAATCAAATGTTTACAAGGAGTTTTACGCTCGTAATGTAAATGATATTGCAATCAGTTCTGATTCGTGTTACACATCTCCAAATATTGTTCACGGTAATTGCGAGGATCTACCAATGTCAAATAAGTTAAATTGATTTTATGTTTGGATCATCCCTATCTTTCAATTACCCTCAAACTTAGCACCAAGGAGCTGTCTTTTCTGGGTTACATAATAAATATTCCAGTGACTCCATTCGATAAAGATTCTCTCCCAC